GCTATGATTTTCATATTTAAGATGTGCATTCCTTGTGACAAGACCTTTCTTTGGGTACCACAAAATTTAACCTTATGACCTTGACCTTGGACTTTGACCAAAACTTTTCCTTTGGTCATATCTTTTGAACAATACATTTAAACTTCACATATATATTTTTTGTGGCAAGACATTTTATTGGATACCACCAACCTTGGCCTTTTTAGCTTGACTTTGAAGATTTCCGTTCTTAAGAAATAACTTTAACCTTGGCTAAAACTTTTTGACAGTAAGGGCTAGAGATGTCGTATTTCACATATGTAATTCTTTAAGAAGACCCTTCAAGGGATATCAAGAACTTTGACCCCTTGACCTTGGAGTATGACCTACTTTCAAAAAAAACATTGACCATATATTTAAAAGGATAAGAGCTAGACTAGTGCTTTCATACTTTATTTATTCAATCCTTGTGACAAGACCTTTCATTTGCTACTAAGGCCTTTGACTTTTTGACCTTGGAGTTTGACCTATTTTTTAAAATTTTTAACCTTGGCCATATCTTTTGAACGGTTAAGGCTAGGGCTTCCGTACCTTACATATTTATTCTTTGAGGCAAGACCGTTTATAAGATACCTATAACTTTGACCCTTTGACCTTGACCTTGGCGATTTCCGGACTTATGCGAAACTTTAACCTTGGCAATAACTATTGAACAGTTAGAGCTAAGGCTTTCATACTACACATATGTATTTTTTGTGGGAAGACCGTTTATTAGATACCAATAACTTTGAACTTTTTACCTTGACCTTGGATATTTCCGGACTTATGATAAGAAAATTAACCTTGACAAAAACATTTGAACGGTTAGAACTAAGGCTTCCATACTACACATATGTATAATTCATTATGACAAGACCTTTTATCGGGTACCATTGCCCTTAACCTTTGGACCTTGATCTTAGAGATTTCGGGACTTATGAAGAAAACAGTATCCTTTGCAATAATTTCTAACGGTTATGGCAAGGGCTTCCATACTTCACATATGTATTCTTTGTGGTAAGACTTTTTATATTTGATACCAATAATTCTGACCTTCTGGCCTTCATTTTGAAGAATTCTGTTCTAATGAAAAAATTTTAAACTGGCCATTACTTGGGAACAGATGGTGATAGGGCTTTCATATACCACAAATGCATTTCCAGTTAGGAGACGCTACTTTGGGTACAAATATATTAAATTTGCTTTAAAAAAAATTTAATCTTCACTATGTTGCCGTACGTGGGCATAGGTGTTTTACAGACACATCTTTGTTTTAAACTACATAAACCAACTTTTATCTGCGACGACTTTATTTCGCGATTGAATGGAGTAAAACTAGTTCGCGACGATTAGTTTTTGCGATCTCACCTTTTTTAAATTTGTTTTTAATAAACACAGAGACTTTAAGGGCTAGTTCGCAGCCAGAAATATTTGCGATGATGAGGCTCTCGCGAACTTCGCGAAAATTTCTAGTACGCCAATAAAAGTTGGTTTACAGTATGTTCAGTGTAGATTTGATTTCTTACCTCTCAAAATTTCCCATGCAATTACGGGTTACTTCTACATTTAAGGCAGCCAGAAAATGTCACTTCCATTACTTTCAGTTTCAATGATAGATATAAAGAAATTTTGTGGTTTGCTGCAATTTTTACACGGCGAGTCCAATTGGGCAGATAATTGAAAAGAGTGAGTCAATCATTATGAAACTAGTTTTCACCCGACACCCGTATGAAAAGTGGAAGATATTGATTCGAAAAGAGACACACCCTGAAAAAGAAGAAGGCAACTGTCGTGCTTTCAAGATTCTTTGATACAATAATGACATTTTTAGAATGCGAACATTTCAGCGATATTTTTTTTCTTTTTAAATGAATGTATGTAGGCACACCTAGTTACATACGTAATGCACAAAACACACCTTCATGAAACCGAGTGCCTATGGACATCTAAGTTTGAGTGACAAAGTTCTGAAAGACATTTTAGATAAGGATGCAATACAATAAAAAGTTTGCAGCGTAAAATGGACAAGTAAAAGAAGGTCCCAAAACCTACAGATACGTCTACAGAACGCAAATTATGAGTTATTTCAATTACATCTGATACAGCATATTTTTTATATTGTTGATAATGAATCTTATAAATTTATTCTAATTTTCTTCCCTCAGTTTTCTTCTATCTGCAGCTATAGAATCTTCCTTTGAGTAGTTAATTACTGCTTGTTGTTAAGGACATCTTTTCTCATTTAATTTTTGTCCCCCGCTTTCGCCAAAGCGAGGGGACATTAAATCTCATTCGTCTGTCCGTCAGTCTGTCCGTCTGTCAGTCTGTCTGTCCGTCACAAAAACTTTAACCTTGCCAATAACTTTTGATTTAGTGGAGCTATGACTTTCATATTTCACATGTGTATTCCTTGTGACAAGACCTTTCTTTGGGTACCACCAAATTTGACCTTTTGACCTTGACCTTGGAGTTTGACCCACTTTTACACAAAAATTCCAAACTTTTACTTTGGCCATAACTTTTGATAAGTAGGTACTAGGACTTTCATATTTCACATATATATTGTTTGTAGCAAGAACTTTCATTGGATGACAACAACCTTGACCTTTTGACCTTGACCTTGGAGATTTACGTAATTATGAAAAAACTTTAACCTTGACCATACTTTTGAACGGTGAGAACTAAGGCTTTCGTACTTCACATATGTAATACTTGTGAGAAGACCTTTATTTGAATACCAATAATTTTTACCCTTTGACCTTGACCCTGAGTTTTAACTACTTTTAAAAAACTTTAAACTTGGTCACAACTTTTTAACAGTAGATACTAGGACTTTTATATCTCACATATGTATCTCTTCTGGCAAGACATTTCATTGGATACCAACAAACTTGACCTTTTGACCTTGGAGATTTACGTACTTATGAAAAAACTTTAACCTTGACCATATCTTTTGAACGGTGAATGCTAGGGCTTTCGTACTTCACATATGTAATCCTTTTGAGAAGACTTTTTATTGGATACCAACAACTTTGATCCTTTGACCTTTACATTGTAGTTTAAATTATTTTTTTTAAAAAATCGGTGGATACTAGGACTTTATATTTCATATATGTATTCTTTGTGGCAAGTCCTTTTATTGGATATCAACAACTTTGACCTTTTGACCTTGACCTTAGAGATTTACGTACACATGAAAAAACTTTAACCTTGACCATAACTTTTGAAAAGTAAGGGCTAGGGTTTTCATACTTCACTTATGTAATCCTTGTGAGAAAATCTTTCATTGAATACAAATAAATTTGACCTTTTGATCTTAGCCTTGGAGTTGACCTACTTTTAAAACAATTTTTTTACTTTGGCCATGACTTCTTAACAGTCAGGATTAGGTTTTTCATCCTTCAAAAAAAATCAACTTCAATGATAATTTCTAAATAAATGACATATGATAGGATGTTCATATATATGTCATAAAAAATAACATCTCATCCACAAAGAAACCGAAAGCGGGGGACCACAATTCTTTGACTTTGCTTGTTTTCCCTTGGAATAAAAATCTAATATCACTAAAAGAAACGAAAAGAATCCTTGAAAATTTTTTATTAATTTTTTTCAAGAGGGAAAATCTATATCATGTAGGGACATGTTACTTTAAATCACATAATATGTATAAAATCATAATTATCAAAACCATATCAATACCTATGTAATTCTGCAGTAGTAGCATAGTGGAGGAAGACATATTCAGTATTCACCACAAATAACGAATTGAAATATATATTTTTCACTTTTTTGAAGAATTAAACAGAAAGTCATTCATCATTTCCACATGGAAGGAGGAAGATGAAAAATATTATGAGACGAGTGGCTGTAAATATACCGAAAGACTGGTAGATTCAAAATCCATTGTAACCATAGTTGGGCCCTCTGGTTGTGGAAAATCTGCAATGGCTCAGTATATTGCTTTGAAATATAAAGACCGAGGATGGATGATCATACCTATAAACGACATTGAAGAATTTTATAAGCTGGTTGATACAAATGTGCCTGTTAACCAAATGTATGTTTTACACGACCCTCCTGGAAAGGAGTCTATCAATGATATACTCTTAAGTAAATGGATATCATTAGAAAATATTGTTGAAAAGTATCTTGAAAGCAATCGACTAAAATTACTTGTAACCACAAGGGTAGCGATACTAAACGATAAAAAATGTATGCAATTGTTGAAAACAAATCTATGTCCCCTTCATGAGAAATTCCGTCTGTGCAGAGAAGAAAAAAAGTGCATACTAATGAAGCATTTTTCGGGAATATATCATCTTTCACTGGAGGAAAGAGAACGCATATTAAATACTGAACATTATTTTCCACTGTTATGTTCCTTGTTTGGCCGTAATGAAAAGTATGAGCAAAAAGGAAGTAATTTTTTTACAGAGCCGACATCAGTTATATCTAATGAAATCGCTTATTTTAAGGATAACGATAGATTAGCATACTTGAGCCTCATTTCATTTACTTTCTACCAGCGGGATTCTTGAAAAAAGAAATTTGTCTAATGTTAGATCGGACATCTTTAAAGAAGCTTGTGAGGTGTGTTGTGTTGATTATAAAACACCAAAAAGATTAATTTGTGAAAAATTAAATGGTTTGGTGAATGTTTTATTTAAAATAGAAGGAGGGAACTTTTTATTTTATCACGATTTTATCATGGATGTTGCCGCATATACATTTGCACAAGATTTTCCTGATTACCTCATAAAGATTTGCCCACTGTTTGTACTTAGAAAGAGAGTTTTCATAAAATTTCAAACCTTAAGTAAAAAGAAGATGACCTTTCAATAACTTTACCTGAGGAATACGCTGACTCGCTGGTGGATAGAATTTTAACGGAAATGGGAGAAGATTTTACAGAGGTATTCTTGTGTCCAGCATTTGAACATTATAAAATTCGAAATATCTTCATAAATCGAATTTTGACCATGGACGACAATCACTTTCAAAGAATGTTCTTGACCACCACTTATCGACAACAACACTATCTTAATTTTGTCTTTAAGGCCTTATCTGCAGCTTTTCCAGACCTTCAGAGATCTTTAGAAAATTGTATTAACTTAAAAGGTCAGGCACACCCTGTGTTATCACCTGAAAAAGAAAAAGCTATTAAAAGCCTGAAAGACATCCAAAGTTCATCGATCGAGAGCAGAAGAAATATTCAACTTGATGAAGTAAACTGTTCTAAAATTGGCATTCTTGGCAATGAGGAAAGTACAGAAGAATCTATTGAAAGGTTCACTGATTTAGTGAAAAGAGCTTTAAATGAAACAGGTCTGGGTAGTATGTTCGATGAAATTCCATGTACAGATCCAACTGAAATGAATACAAAGTTGGTTTCAATATTTGCTGAATTTTTCCAGATAATTGAGATTGTTAGAGGCGAGCCAGATGGATCTGCAATTGTAAGAAGTTTCATGAAAAATATCAAAGCAATTTCGATTCAAAGAAATGATGGTCAACAATATCTTCTACAACCTGGTGTACAAGTCACAGAATTAAGTATCACGAGTATTATTAGTTACATAGTCTTTTAGTGACATGGTATGGGATGATACCTGGTTAGTAAATTTCATACCTGGCGAGGCGGAGCTGAGTCAGGTATGAAATTTACTAACCAGGTATCATCCCATACTCTGTCACTAAAAGACTATGTAACGAATTTACCCCACCGATGAAACATTTACGTTTTATCTGTAGTTTATAAATGGTTTTCTCTGCTAAATGCTTCATCACGCTTATACTGTGCCTATTATGACGTCACGTTTGTGTTTGTGACGTGATACATCGACCGTGTATAGATGTGTATAAGTAATCCACTGCCTTCACGTGACAGTCTTCAACCAATCGTAAGCCAGGATTTCGTAGAATCAAAGTACTGAAAGTACTGGGAAGCGGTTAGCATGCATGCATTGAAATTGGCATGGGGAAGTAATATGCAGAACATGTCCAGGTGTAGATATATTTCAAAGATGAAAATTACTTGGAGTCAAATTTTAGTGCAATTTAAATTTGATAAATTCTTAGAAATTAATTCACAGTTCACACGACTAGTTTAATTTGCAGTAAATTCCTGAGAAGTAAACTAATGCAAATCAAACTTATACAAACTAGAACTGTCCAAACGGGACAAAATACCCCCTGCTGGATTTTTCAGAAGTAAGTTTTTCCGTAATGAAGATATGTATCACACATGAACAAGAATTTAGTAAAGATATCTCAAACCCCCATGATAACAAATAATTACATGATCTGTGTATATCAATTTTCAAAGATGACTAAACTTTATTATATATAAGATTACAAAACGGAAGTACTTACTTCAAATAATAAACCTATTTTAATTCTCTGATAAAATGCTAATTAGCAAAAGAGGAAACAGTTCTTGCAAGGTAAGGAATTATATGTTAACTTTTCAGAGAGATGGAACCAATTAATTTGCAACAATCAATGCAAAAAATAAACAAAATATAACATTGCAATCACTGATTTGATAAGAATTTGTTCAATTATATATGTTCAGTCCTACTAAGTTTGCTTGCAATTGGATAATCATGTAACTAATAGCTAAAGACAGCAAAGATGAACTAATGTAGATAAAGACAATTGATAATTACACGATATTTCAGTATACAAATTGTACACTTTTGTTCTAGGCTAATTAGCAAAAACACGAAAGTTTTTGCGGGGTGGGGAATTAAATGAACTTTTCAGAGAGAAGGATCCAATTGAATTGCAACAATTAATGCAAAAATAAATAATAAACAAAATATAGCACTGCAATAACTAATTTGATAAGAATTTGTTCAATTATATATGTTCAGTCCTACTAAGTCTACTTGTAATTGGATTATCATGTAGGCCTAAATAATAGCTAAGGACTAAAACACTAACTAAAGCAGCTGTATAGTACGCAAAATGTACCTAAATAATATATAATTAGTTCTCAGCTTTGACAAGCAAGTCTATTATGATAAAGCAATGAACCGTAGTAGCAAGTATAAGCAAACAATATTACCTGAAGGTATCTTTCGTTCTTTCGTACAAGTACGTCATCTATCCACGCTATCTTGTTAGTAAATAATGTATTACTACGCGTTCGCATCCGTTACGTATATCATAGATGAACACAAAAAATGATCCAAAATCAAATATAAACTAGATTTTTTCTTGTTTTGTTTTGCAATACTTTCGCAGTTTTTAACATAACTAATCATATATCTTTTGGTTTATTAACCATATTGTAGAACTATTTTTTCTCCTCTTCACTGCAAAGTTTGCCCCTGTATTTCTGCATGTAACCCCAGATAATTCAGCGTAGACTTTCGGGTATTTCCGCCAAAGATCGGAAAAGCTGCAATTTTTTGCTCATAGGTAGCGCCTTATAGAGGTTTCCGGTTGCCGACACATGCCATAAAGCGGCTAGCGAAGCTAACCGCTTAAAAATCATCAGAGGTGGGGTAATAATACTTTACTGGATGCAAGTAGTGAAACAGAACGTAACAATTATTTTTTATATTGCATTCAAAATTTTCACGCGGAACAAGCCCTTGAGATTTTTTTTCAATTTTGTAGATGTCTCAATTTATTGATGAACATGATGAAACCTTATATGCGCAAACGTGTGCATTCTTTAATAAAAGATGTCTTAAGTGTTCTAAAAGTCTTTTCGGATGAAGCACACAATCTTTCAAAAAATCCTTCTTCTCCATTTTATTTTTCTCTCAGAAGGTCGGATCAAGTATTTGAGAAGTATAAACTTCAGGCATCTTCTTCAAAGGAAATTTGTTTAATACAAGAACTCAAAGAAAAACTATCTGTTACTCAGACACTGAAAAATAATTTAGCCCTACTTGCTGAAGAAGTGTCACCTTTATTAAGCTGTATAATCTATGGTGACAAGAAAATTGTTAAGGCCCTAATAGAACGTGTGAAGAGAATAGAGAATGGAAAGCACATTATATCAAACAAAATTTTTTTAGCAGCATGTTTGAATGGGTCTGTAGAAGTTGCACGTTTGCTCTTAGAATTTATGGGGGAGGATATTTTATATCAAAAATGGAATTGTAGAAACTTAGTCGGATTAAATGCACTACATATAGCATCTCTCTTACATCACAATGAGATGACTGCTTTTTTACTGGACAATAAATTTCCTGTAAATACCATTGATGGAATAGGACGCACTCCTTTGACTTTGGTGGTCTCGAGTTTCCATAAAGACATGTCAAAATCGGAAAGACAGAAAGGTTTCGATACTCTTGAGACCCTCTTTAATAATGGTGCTAATACATTTATTCCGAATTTATTTGGAGCTTCTGCTTTCCACTGTGCCTGTGAACTCATAAATGATAGGGATGTTTTTAAACATTTTTTGAATGGAAATGTGAACGATTTAATGGGCGATGCAACCAGTCCTCTAATGCTTGCTTCACAAAAAGGAAACACAAATATTGTACGCCTGCTTCTTCAACAAAATGCTTCTGTAAATCATCACAATGAAGCAGGACATGCTCCAATACATTACGCTTGCATAAGTGGTGTTATAGAAACTGTGACATGCCTTTTAGATTACGGTGCGAAACCAGACGACGTTGATAACTTGGGAATGTCGCCATTAATGTTCGCTGCAGCAAATGGACATATTGATGTTGTTAAAGTAATATACGCCGTATGAATGTCGATTTGTATGTGAAAAAACGACTAAATGATTTGAAACACATGAAGTGAAATAAAAAAATAATATTTTAACAAAATTTAACTATATAAATCGTTGTAATAACAGTACAATAAAGCAATATCTGCAATTAAGAATCCAGTCTTTTCATGAATATTGATAAAGGAAGTGCGTAAACAGTAGGCCTAAATATAGACACGTCTGTCCACGGGAAATCACAGACAATGAGGTATGTTGCATTTTGACAACGATTATTAATAAAAGGTTAATATGCGTCATAACAGAGTATAGATGGTTGATACTGATTACATTTGAAGGTAAGTTAAATTAATAGTAACACGCCATCCATGTCAAAAGTGAGTTGTATCTCAAAGGGCTTACCTCGTTTTCTCAACGCCGTGTTTGTTTATCAATCTAAAAGTAGCGACGGCGTCACGTGGTGGGTTTATTTAAAAATAGCTATTTCTTTCCTTGCAGGAAAATTAATAATTATAATTTGATAACTCAATAACGCATTTTATTTAAATGGTGTGATTTACAGTATTTTCGTAACTTTTATTGGTAAACAAAATATATCATTTCCAGCCGTATTTGATAATGGCGCACGTCATAGCGTATATTACTTTAAACTTCTCTCAAAAATATCTTTCATTGATCAAATTGATCAGATGTTAAATACGGCACTTCACTATGCAGCTCAAAATGGTCATTTGAATGTTGTAAAAATTTTATTTGAAAGTGGAGCAAATGTCAGTCATGTTAACAAAAGTCTTGAGACACCTATTTTCCGCGCTGCTTCTAACGGACATTATATGGTAACAAATGAGTTAATTAATCTTGGAGCCGATGTCAATAAATGCAACATAACTGGGGAAACCCCTTTAATGCAAGCAGTTCTTCAAAATCATATTAACTTAACAGAACTTTTGCTTGATAGGGGATCAAATGTAAATAGTCGTGATGCTAATATGAGAAACGTAATATGGCTTTCTGCCTCCCAAGGCCATGAAGATATTACCACGCTGCTCTTGCACAAAAAAGCAGAGTTTAACATCAGTGATGGAAATGGTCTTACTCCTCTTACTATCGCTGCAAAAAATGGAAAAATAAAAACGGTGTCTCTACTGTATCAGCAGGGATGTAATATAAATGAATATACCATGAACCAGAACACTCCTCTTATACTTGCGGCTGGTGAAGGTCATAATGACGTTGTCAGCTTTTTAATAAGTCATAACGCAGATATCAATTTGTTGAATAAAAGAAGGGAAAATGCTCTATTACTAGCTTCTGAAAATGGTCACGAATATATAGTAAAAATGCTTATTGACGCAGGTTCAGATATAATTTCAAACATTGAAAATATTGATCCATTATATATTGCAGCAGCAAGAGGTTATCATGATATCGTAGACTATCTTGTAATATCAGGGCCTATTGAAAATACCAGCATTTTTCAACTTGATTCGGCATTTCTGATAGCCTGTCTCGAGGGTCAAACATTAATTGCAAAAATGCTGATCACGGTTATTTCAGATATAAACGTGCAAGACGAAGAAGGTCGATCTGCTCTTTGGTACGCCTTGTGGGCAGAAAGTGATGAACTCATTAACATTTTACTGGAAAATGACGCTAATGTTAACATGCCTGATGATTCAAATGTGACCCCACTAATGATTGCATCTGCTAAATGTCATGGAAAAATGATTGTGGAGCTACTAAGGAAAGGGGCACGTTTCGCAATACTAATTATTATATACACAGAAAAAACAGTGTTTTCCCTTCAAGACGTTGGATGTATTTTTTTCACATATCCTTCAGATCCGCCAAGACTGAGTTTTGAAGAATTTTTTACTCCAAAAAATTTTCTAAACATGCTGGTAAAGATTCTTTCGGGAGAACTAACTGCAGACCAAGTCTTTAATATGAACAATTTGTTAACTTTTATGTTGAACAGGCAATGAGATGTAGATTATCCCTAGAACAAAATATTCGTTGAATCATTGGATATATTTTAATATCTTGATTTTACTCCTGAAAGGGCCAAGTTGGATAAAATTTCTGTTATTACTCTCTAAGGCAAATTCACTGTATTCTATCACAGATATAGTTGATAAAAAATCGTTTTGAAATCCCTGGTACATGTGATATGAGAAGATAGGTACATGTATATAGTTTATTGAGTTGTTTATTGTGACTTAACATGTCCTTGCCTTTAATTATTTTGATTCAAAGTCTCCATTCAAGACTAAAATCGTCTCATTACAATGAATATTCATTAGAATGACTCAACGCTTACATGTATGAACTAGATCTATTATTTGTAAATGACTTTTTTTTTACATTTTATGTAATAACCTTGACACAAAATTAATATCACCTAGTAATGTTGTACATCAATTTGAAACGAATATTTGCATATATTGCAATCATGTGACTGATCAGTATTTAGTAATTTGACAAATGTTATATTCATTTTTGGTTCATATATATAACAATATATGGAGATGGAAATCTTTGTATATCTTTGTATATTGGTTGTAATTACGTTTGAAAAATAATAACTTAAATTCGATTTCTCAAGCTTTGCAATATTAACTGTATACAACTTATTGTTTTGATCATTTATGAATATTTCAATTTGAAATAAATGTTTTAAATCTGTCAATATGATAATCATTTTGTAATTTGACACACAATTCAGCTGAGGTTGGCTTTCTCTTTAGTCGATTTTCTTTCACAAAGTAGGATTTTTCATTTTATTGCGTTTGCATGTATGAAGACATGAAGATATAATTAAAGTTTGTTCAAAGCAATACCCAGGTAAACCACTTGATATTATTATACATGTATATTGAATGAGCAAAAGATTATCTTGTCATAAGAATTGTTCTAATTTGATCAGTATTTTTGAAAATGAAAGTTTATTTTTAAATGTGCAATTGTTTTTCAAGATATCTGGTCGTTTTTGAGTAATGTATTTATATTTGTTTGTCCATTCTACATTAATTCAATTATGTACATGCATTACCTATGTTAGATAATCTTATTTACCTTTGGTTCCTGTGTGAATAAATTTAAACAATACTTTGTGTTATTAATTGTTATAAAGAAGAGGACGTTCTAAGTTTTTAAGAACTTGTGTCCAATCCTTTTGTTGTAATATCAAAACAATAAACGATGTTCAAACAAGCTGTTCAAATTGACAGATTGACAAATGTAAACCTTGATCTGTACAATATATAATACGTCGTACGTTAAAGGTGCATGGAAACGGATTTGAAGTTAATATTTTCTGTATAATATCACAGCTTATTAAGAAATAAACAACGTTATTTACTAAATAATCGTTGTTTATTACTTATATTTGCATTCTTTGATGTTGTCAAGAATATCAGAGGAAATCCTGACTTATATAAGGACGCAGCTTCTTATGTCTTCAGTAAAGAAAACCACACGGCTTTAAAATCAGTACACCTGATCAATACTCCTTTTCTCTAATAAATCACAATTTATAAAGTATTTCCCTCTCAAACAGTTATCTGGATACAAGCAGCACCGTCATCACATTCTCTTATCTTTTCTTTTGATGCAGTCGTGACGTCATCGATCAACGTTATTGAAATCCTCTGACAAAAATCAATAATTTTACACTATGATAAAAATGAGAATGCTTTTATAATGATTATTACTCCAGTATGCTTTGTGATTTTTTTTTTTGGTACTTTTTCTATTTATTTTTTCTTGAAATAGATATAGATCTACTAGGCTTAGTTAAAGAAATTTTCTCTTTCTGAATGTTATTACCCAAGTGTGAAGAGTTATCGTTCTTTGTTTGTACAAGTATGCATGATACGGAAAAATAGAAATATGGAGTTCTATTCAATTTTTAAAAACTTTTATATTACAATTAAATACATTGACCAAAATTAAATTTTTAAAGATATCAAACAGCAATTTTAAATTGTTCTGAATTCCTTTTTTTCAAAAGATATTATTAAAAACTTATATTTAGTCCTTGTACGAAACATTTCATATATATACTTCTCAACACGGTATATAACTGTAGTAGAGATTGTTCTACACGAGTGAGAAAGAGCAATTGCACTCATAGCAGAAGCAGTTGCGTCTATAGTCCTGTAAACGCAGTTGATGGCTACATGTTCATAGTGGGAGAGAGCAGTGGATATGCAAATAGTATATTTTAAACGCATTTCACTTAAAAATATATTAAAAAATTTATTTTTTATTCAATTATTGAAACTTCAAATTGTTTAACGGGTTTGATTGACAAATCCATGCACTCTCACAAATTTTAGTTTTATTTTTTAATACTAAGGATAAGTGGCAAAATTGTTGTGTATTAAAGAAAAAAATTAAAACTTTAATCCAGAAAAATAATTATACTGGTATAATTATTTTTCTGGATTAAAGTTGTAATATTTTTCTTTAATATACGAAATTAAGAGTAGAAATGTTAGAAAGCAAACTCCTTCACACGTATTGTCTTTCCGAGCTACGTGTTGTGTACAGAGTTTATCAAATTTATCACACCCATGAAACGTACACAGTTTTTATAAACAGGACACGAGCTCTCTTGTTGATGTTTACGATTCACCGGGTGTACTCAACACAACAGCACGGACTGTCAATATACTGTGTATATGTTTTGCTTTCGAACATTTCCACTTTGAATTTTCTGGATTATAGTTTGAATATTGTCCATTTATACACAATATTACATTTCCTAGGATTAAGAATAAAACTAACCCCCACTAACCCTAACCCCCACTAACAAAACACCCATATAAAGAGTAGATAGGTGATCACAGTACGTTCAAACGTAAGTACAACTTATTTATGCACACGACCCTAAACAACCAAATCGTATAAAAACCAGAGCTGGAAATCTAGGTTCACTTTTAGCTAGCACTTTGAACTAGAAAGACGTAAAAAAAATATGGCAGAGGAAAATACAAAAGAGGCCGTACCGGCCAGAAACACAAGATCTCATGGAAGTAGATGAAAGAAGCTTGATATGCGGTTTCTTAGATGAAATGGTTAATATCATGCAAGGAATTCATAATGATGTCAGTGAATTAAGAAAAGAAGTGATGAAAGAGATTCGTAATCTAGGAGGCAGACCAGTTAGTGAAAGAAGTAGAAAAACTGGAGAAAAAGTCTCAGGTACACAAGACCCCAGGACACCATACCATACAGTTAGTGAAAGAAGTAGAAAAACTGGAGAAAAAGTCTCAGGTACACAAGACCCCAGGACACCATACCACCTATCAGGAACACAGAGAGCTTCCCAGCACCCATGGCCAGAAGAGGAAACTTCCCCAGACTGAAAAGGAACAGAAGAAGAAAAAGTAATTCTGCATGTTATTTATTACTCTGAATAAATCCTTTATTTTCATTGTTTTTTTTTCCGTTTTTAGAAAATACAGAGGCTTGCTGTGAATGACGTAACGTCTACGTGTTCATCTAAGGAGAAATTCAACCCCTATTCCCCAAAGACTGTACTCACGACCTCCCTATCCCCACCCAGAACTGTACTTAGTTGACGCCCCTATCCAGGATCTCTGGGGGTCAAAAGTACACTCAGTTGAACCCCCCAGCGCGGCGCCTTATACTACTGACGACGACAGATAACGGAGAAATTTTGATAAGAAAAAGCTCACTTAGCCTTCGGCTCAGGTGAGCTGAAAAAAAAACAAATTATGATTTGTGGTTATTATATAGATGGAAGATAAAATGCTAATATCTAGTTTGAAATTCATTGATGTACCTAAACTGGTTTTAATTTTAAATGACTTCAGCAGGTGCACGTGGTGTCATCTTTTTTCCTCTGAAACCTCACAGCTCTCAAGGTTATATCTTCTCAGTGATGTTGGTGTCGACAAAGAAATTAGAATACCTGAACACTTGATTATCTTTATGTAACAGTTGATGACGACGGTAAGGCTGTACGTATTTTTGTATTAAACCCCTTTCCAAACAATTAATTGAATGGTATATCCCTTCCTCTCAGTAAAACAGGGTTCCGCGATTTTAAGGGGACGAGGATCAGACAATCTTTAAAATTTTGTTTGTTTGCCCTCTCCCGACTTAAGATAAACTTGTTGGGTAAGAAGGTAGATTGGAAAATATTCTTTTCTATACAATTCAACATATTTGTTCACGTGATAAGAGGAATTAATTTTTTTTTAAAAAATGTTTCTGTGTCCTGGAATGTTGCTATAATGTCTTGGAATGTAAAAAAAAGAACTTTAAGTCGGATTATTTTAGTCAGTCGGTCGATTGATCAGGGCAATCAAAGATTTTTTTTCCGAAAATGGCTTTAATAATTATAAATGTATTATTCATGTTTTATTATTTTCATAAATAATATACATGTAATTCACTAATACCAGGGGCGGAGTGAATACGGTTCTCCAGTTTTTTCTAGATCCATGCATGTCATGAATTCTTATATTTTATGTAATAATTATTTTCTGATTAAAAAGAAATTTCGTTGTCTCTACTTGCTACTCATCAGAAATAGTAGAGGGTCTAACCACTGTTAAATCTGATATGCTGAAAGGATTGAAGTCAATAGGGCAAAGATTACAACAGGAAAAGGATACGTCATCAATCAGTAATCGTATGTATATAAGTTATGGTTCTATAGCTTTATCCTGCCCTAAAAATTCAATGTTTCCAAAAAGTTTTTAAACTTGCCGAAATATTAATCGAGTTTATGACTGTGATAGATCATAAAAGAATATGGCATAAAGGGATACAATTTTGGAAATATAACGTCATTAATCATGCTACATACATTAATGTCAAGTTCAATTATCCATGTTATCATACGTTAAATATCTGAGATGATCAAAATAGATCGACCAGTAAAAATATGTAATTATATGTTTAGACCTTTAACAAAAAATAATATCAGTTTTGAGAACAAATAATTTATTCTGGGTAAGGTCAGGGTGAATTATATGTGTATGGGATTTTTATTTATTTATTTTTTGCATGAGTTTAGCCGCGTCGGAAAAGGGGGGGGGGGGTATTTAACATATATATCTATACATCAGGGATGGGGTCGATTGCTTTCAAAAGAAATCGATTAAATTACAATTACTTTGGATTTTAAAAGTAATCGATTACAAGCTGATTACAGACATTTTTTAAAGTAATCAATTACATCTGATTACTTTTCCTCCATGTAATCATGATTACTTATGATTACTTTAGATTACATTAATTTTTTTTTGTTTAATGTTCATGAACAACAGAATGTTTTTAATTCAGTCTTCTCTTTTTAAGTATCATTTATATTTTAGGTACAGAAAAGTTTGGTGATACATTTCTTACATGTAATATAGATGCATAAGATTTATCAAGTTAATGTTTTCTATCTTTAATACTAGTTAATATCTGTGTTATTGTTGAGATAGAAATAAAAAGAATTGATGTATCAAACTGGACATAATTATAGTTAAAGGGATTCGATAAAGAACTGTAACACAAGTAATTCACTTTCTTGATGAGTGATGATCTTTTCAATTAAGCTGCCAATTACTAGATGTTTTTACAAGAATTAACACACTGACTGGGAGGGCATGGATAATTCAATACATGTAATTGTTATAAGCCAACCTGACCAAACTTTAGTATACCAGTGTTTTATTACTAATTAATTCACATATCTTTGTATGTACACAGAAAATCAAACAAAGTGATTTTTAGAATACACATCTCAATAAAGGAATATTTGATATTTAAAAAAAACATGTTTATTAAAAAAAAATTTAAAGGAAAAACAAACTTTTGTATTTCACACGTGTTTATTGATTGAAACCAAAAAAATCAAACTTTAAAATGATCCTGTAGTAATTTTCATCCAGTTTAATAATATTTATCAAGTCCATATGGCGAATTGCTCTGCTGCTAGAGTATTTTGAAACATAAATGAATATAGCTAGGAACTGACAGAATTTACTCATTGTCTGGACAATGGACCTGATTATAAGCATTAGAAGAAGACATCTAGCAAAAAATAGTTTATAATTTTTATACATGTAATAACTTTTGCT